ACCTCGATCGGATGCATAATACTTTAGAAAGAGCATGCCTACCTAGCTAGCCTACTTAGTAGGGCTCATTAGGCCCAAAAGGCCAAATAACCCTAATTTTAGCCATTTTTCTAAATATACCGAGTTTTGAAATTTCAATACATACCTTTTACTTTTATGCTTAGTTTAGATTTAATTTTTTCAAATTTTTAATTTCTTTATGCCTATTTATCTAGTCAATGTTCATTCTTTTTTTTCTTCCAATAATTAAATTAGAAAAGTAATAAGTGGACGAGTCATCAAGTCTCCTAATTTTAGGTGAAAATGATTAAAAAAAAGGCAAAAAAGGAACACAAGAAAAAAAATATAGAAAATATTAGGTGAAACTTAAGAAAGTTTCTTATCCGATAAGAGTTGATGCTAACTCAAATTAATCACATATTAGTAATTAGGTCGTTCTTTTACATTTTGATTATGTTGAGACTTAAATCGGATCCGAGGTTGAATTGATGAGACTTTTAACGATGGAGTCCGACGATTGATTTAATATGATGCCACAAATAAAATTAAAAAATTATTTTGGCTTAGGAAATAAAGCTTGAAATTTTGATTTGGGATTAATTTTGAAAAAACTAGAAATTTTTATCAAATAAATTTTACGATTAAACTAGACATGTTACTTTTTTAGAAAATGGTGCCTTTGGTGATTGATATCTTCTAAAAAACATAACTAACTCATTACCTTATAATTTTTGAACTAATGTTCATTTTAGGTCCTAGTTACCTTTAATACTAGTTGAAAACTCCAAAATTAATAATAACTCATTCCCAAACAAATAAAATTCAACCAAATAAATAAATCATAAAATTTGGGAGTCCCATTAAATGTCGGATAGCAACAGAATGGTGACTCCACTCGAAGATTTAGAGTTAGGTCATAGGTTTAGTCATTTTTAGTTTATCTCCTTCGTTTATTTTAGCCATTTATTTTCCAAGTTAATTTTTTTATTCATTTATTTTTGTCATTTAATTTTAAGTTATTTTTTCAATTCTTATATATACTTCAAGTCTTTTATTTTATGCAATCTGTTTTCTTTGTGTTTTAATTTTTGTACATATTTTGTGATGGGGATTAGATGTGTTTTCTTCGAACTATTGTACATACCATAAAAAAAACATGCAAAGGCTTTAGATCCGAGTCGAAGCTCTATTAGGATTTAGATTGAGAGATTTGGAGGTAAGTAGGATGAAAGTCTACCGATGCTTATCTATACTCTCATTTAGACTAGAACTCACCCTATGCATGCAAATCATGGAATGACCTTTCCGTACCTCATGATGCATAAGGTTAGAGATTGGATTACCCCATCGATAACCTAAACGAGTCTAAAAACTTAAAAGAATTTTTGTATTAGACAAATCTTGCCAAAACCCTAGAAAAGTTAGATCTTATCTATTAGAATTATCCATTTAAGACACAAACTATCTTTAAATGATGTCAATTCTAACCTTTATTTTTATAGGTTATCATTTAAACAAGTCATGTTAAAGAATGACATTGAGGATTTTAGGACTAGATTAGAATATGTCAAGCTTAAGGAGGAAGACTATCTATACTCAAATTTTGTATCAAATTTGCAAAAATAAAAAATGGGACACGTAAGCAACGAGATCATTGAAGAGGAGCTCATATAAGACCCAAAAACCTCATAGCCACTACTACCTCATATCCTAGTCTTACGGGTGTTCGTTAGGTTATTCGGTTCGGTTTTGAAATTTTTTTATCAAGCTTCGATGCATTGAATTTGTTAAAAAATAATTGAAATCGAATCGACTTGTTATTTGATTTTTTGGTTCAATTTTGAAATATACTCGGTTTTAGTGTTTGATAATTTGATTTTCATCGAATTTGCTAAAAAAGGGTGTTCCGTGTTTGTTCGGTTGATGGGCTCATTGGCATTTGGTCGTGGCTAGCCACGGGGCAATGGCTATCCGTGGCCACCGCCCACCGGCCAACCACTACCACCGCCCATTAGGCGGTATGGGCCGTGGGTTGTGGCCGGCCACAACCATCATTGCTAGTGGCGAGTATGCTATTGCCCACTAGGAAGTGGCTATATGTGGCTACCGGCTAGCCACAAACACTACCCATCGGGCAATGTGGGGCGTGTGTCGTGGCGATGGCCTATCACTCCTCACTTGTGGGTTTCGCTATCCCATCCGGCATCCCCATCCAAATTTCAAGTAGGCTACAATGCTACATCACTGTTCTTTAATCTTTAACGCTTCAATAATGAAAAGGCAAGCATGTCAAGCAACAATTCAATTTCAACTTCAAATATTCAGCAACATAAAAGCAATAATTTAACATGACCAACAAAGTCGGTAATTTAACAAAGTAAAATTAACAAGCCAACAAATTTAACAATCAACACTAACAACTTATCAAGTAAAATAATTTAAAAACTCCCACAAACCACAACCATAAGTCCACAACAATCCACAAATAGAAATAGTCAAGTTCAACCAAAAGCCGAAGGTTCACCAAATGATGAAATGACAAATCCCGCAAAGAAAAGAAAAAAATTTCAGCTCTATAAAATGTAAAGACATTTACAAACAAACATGAACACACACACAATGACACAAAGATAATTCATTAGAAAACGAAACTTACCCATCAATCATCGTATATCTATCATATGTGGATCCGTTGAAAGTTTTAATAAGTTTGAAAAAAATAAATCAATATTTTAATATTAATTTAGAAGGAAAAAACTTAAAAAGATAAAGGAAAATATAATAATTGAAAAACTTATCGACTTTAAATTTTTCAACATCTTGCAAATCTTCTTTAGTAGTAATTGGTATTGAATTTTGAAGTCAATCTTAAGCACATATAAGAGCTTACACAATGCTAGGAGTTAAAGAACTCCTAAACAAGAACTCTTCCTTCAATGCTAAATGTCGATTTTGTAGGAACGATAGAAATTAAAACCACCAATACATCATGAGCCATTTGTGAAAGAATGGAAAATCGAAGAGAATTATTTTTTCACCACTCCAAAAATATCAAAATTTTCATCCTCAATTTGGACATGATTCATGAAGATACTTATCCAATTCTAATCTATTATCTCCATGTTCACTTTCATTGACTTTTTAAAATCACGACAACCTTCCAATTGTCTTTTTTTTCTTGTTGGCATCCATTACATCACTAACACTTGAAATTTTCGTAATCCCACTATTTTGACTACTACCACTAAGAACTTGATTTTTTGATAAATTGCAATATAAAGCATACAAGGCATATATAGATCCTCTCACATCATTTGTCATCGTTTCTCCAAGCGAATCTCCATGCAATTTATTTAATGTAAAAGCAATATAAGTAAGTTTATGTGTTGGATCAAGTACGGCCTCAATATAAATCAACTTATTCATTTTCTTCATATCCCCCCAATACTTATCAAACTTTTCTCTCATTTTACTAGCCATTGAACAAGTATCATCATTGACACTCTTTCCATTCTCTCAAATCAACTTAAAACATATAAATTTTATCAAAATAATTATTAAAAGTGACATATGAATGACTGGAAATAAATAAAGTAAGGTCATAGAAATTTTTTAATATTGTCACCATTTTTCTACAAGTCCTTCAATCTTCGACACTAGGCGACCTAAATATCCCATCACCAAGATCCACATTAAGTTCAATACTATATAAATGATCAATTTACTCATATCTCTTAAAAGCTCTCTCAAACTTTTGAGTTGAATCTAACATGAAATAAGTTGAATTTCATTTAGTTGAAACATCTAGATGTAATAAGCTTTTGGAATCAATCTTTTCAATCTTTATGCATTTCTTAAATTTTCTCGACCCGAGTGGGAGATTGTTTAATATATCTCACGATTGTTCGAACATGAAGGATTTGCATTTTTTAACCCATTAGAAACAACAAGATTCAAAATATGAGTCATACATCTCATATGAAGTAATTCTCCGTCTAAGATGCTATGACCCCAATTGTTAAAAACATCTCTCAAGTATCTAATTTCCACATCATTTGAACTTGTATTGTCTACGATAATTGTGAAAACCTTTTCAATTCCCCAATCAATCAAACACTTTTCAATAGCGCTACCCAAATCAATATCCTTATGATCATCAACCAAATAAAAATTCAAAATCTTTTTTTGCAACTTCAAATCATTATCAATAAAATAAGTTGTTAAACACATATAATTAATTCTTTAAATAGACGTCCATGTCCATAGTCGGACAAACTCTTTGATAATTATTTTTCAAAAATTGTTTCAACTTTAATTTCTCATATATATAAAGTTGATAGCAATCTCTTGAAATGGTAATCCAGGATGGAATTTTAAACCTAGGTTGTGCAATTGACATAAACCATTTGAACCCTATATTCTCTACGAATTTGAAAGGAAGTTCATCCACAACAATCATGTAAGTTAAAGCATTTTTAATGCAATTTTGATTAAACTTCCATGTGGTAAGAGTGTTTTATCCCCTTTGAACACTTGAATTAGATTGAAGGTTTAATTGTGGTTAGGGAGGATCAAGCATATATGGGTGTTTTTTGCATATGGCGATATGAGATTTGAGTGCAAGTGGTACCATTTTTAGTAGGATTAGCAAGCAATTACCTTATCACAATAATTACATCTCCTCTTAATGTCTTTATTTTCATTTTCAAACTTGGTGAAATGGTCTCATACAACCGATCATGGCCTCATTACTCTTCTCTTCATCTTTGTGTTCAATTGTGAGTTTTATTAAGAGCTAGCAATTGTATCTCGCTACTCGGTTTTGGTCCTTCTAGATAGGTTGAACTCCCAACTTCGACATCGACATCCGAGGATCCTAACATCTATACAAATTCAAGAATATATTTGACTAGAAATGATTATTAAATACAAATACTGAAAAACAAGTCTATAATTATTAAAAATTTAAAATAGGGTCGGTGGGCACTAGCCCGTAGGCAATGGCCACCGCAAGCCAATGCCCGCAAGCAATGGGCACTGGCCGCCGCCGCCCACCGGCCTATGGGTACCGGCCATCGGCAGTAATCGGTTGCTACTAGCCAATGGGCGAAGCTAGAGCCTAGAAACCACTAGCCAAAATGACCTAAACTTTATAAAAAGAATCTCCAATCCTAAACTTTACAAAATCATATCCAAAATGACCTAAATTTTACACATCTAACCAATCCAACATGAATAAAATTCTAGGTTTCCTTTACAATCAATCCCCAACCCTTTTCTCACACTCGAATTCCTCATAACTCATAAGGTACTAGTAAATTCCATATGTAAGTCCGAATAACGGTACTAAAGTTTTGAAATTTCTATTCAAAACCAATAAAATAAAGAAATTTCATATTTTTTTAGATAAATAAGTGGGTTTTTTTAAAGAGAAATCAATTTGTTACCTTTATGCTTGAAATTGATTAAGAGTCGCTGGAGGCCGCCGAGGTTGTGAGGGGCAATTGATGAGGGTTGAGCCTATGACTTATGAGCGTAAGGACATAAAGTGACTGGTGAGGTCGTGAGGGTGAGTTTAGTGATTTGTGAGGGGCCGAGGCCGATTAACTAATCGAGGGTGTGACTCGCGTGATAGGAAGGTCGACCGAGGAGTGAGTGTGAGGCCATAACCATGTGAGGGCCGAGGGAGGGGACTCGGGGAGGGAGGTAGTTTGATCTAAACTCTAAACCGAAGACTCAAGAGTGAAGAGTAGGGCACCGGGGCTAGGGGAGGCACGAGGTGTGAAGAATGTAGATCGTAGAGTGCAGAGAAGTAGAAGTAGTGAACTAGAGATTATACATTAGAGAAGTCAAAGTATGGTCGTATGATAGTATGGGTGAGGACGTGATCACATGAATGAGTGATTACCGATTAATGAATGACGTCGTTCACTATTTTTTTTTATTTTTTTTAATAATTTTGGTTTTTCGATTTAATCATCTTTTCAAAAAAAAAAAAAAAAAACCAAAATCAAAACCAAAAATTGATTGTATTTCAATTTAGTATGGTTTGATTATTCGATTTTAATCGAATAGTGAACACCCTTACCTAGTTTAGAGTTATAGAGAGTAAAATAGGATCCGTTATGTAATGAAAAATATGATATGCATTATAATATCATCTAAGTGGTTATAACCAAAAAAAGTGTACTCGCCTTTTGTCTTTCAATAAAAAAAGACTTTAAATGACATTTAGAATGTGATAAAAGTCCAAATTAAATTCTTTCATGTATGCTATCACAAGATGCGCTCATCACTCGGGATCTTAAAAAAAAATCCTATCAAAGACAAATCTAATATGAAGTAGGCATGTTTCTCGAATCATTTATAGAGTTGTACCCTTGACGAGTATTTAAATCGATCAAGTGTGTCCTCGGCACAAACTTTATCATGATTTGAATTTGTAACGACAAAGCAACATATCCAATCAAGTTCATATCTTGCATGTTTATATATTCACTATATATTTGCTGTATATATATCTTGAGTTTGTTTCACCGGATCTAAAATATAGGTTACTCCATTAAAACCTTAGTCCCCTCTCGAATACACCATATTCAACACTCGGGGATAGAAAACAGGAAATGAAGAGAAACCACTATAGGAATATGCCAACCAACAAGAAATTGATTCCATAAAAAGGAAAATTACCTGTTTGTCTAAACTGCTAAAAAAATACATTATTGGCATTACCGTATGGATGGGAGCACATCAAACCAAGGCCAAGCTCTAGTTGAAATTATTGTATGCCTTTCGATGCCAAACTTATAGGATGGGCCATCTACTATCCCATCTACTAATCTAGGGCAATCATATTTTCTACTCGAAGCATCATTTCCACTTGGCCATTTTCATATATAATGGGTCTATAAGTTCCATCGATACAAGGTACACTCGTTGTAGACTTCATTATTGAAGAAGTTCATAGGACTAAGGTAATAAAAAAGCTGAGTTCATACAATATATTAGCATTCAAAGAATGTCATAAGGCTACTAAGGGCACTAATATGCATAATCCGATACGAATTATTGAAATTGGCATATTATCAAATGTGGTAATTCTTAAGAAATTTAGAGTTTTTAAATTCACTAAATATACAGGCACCTAATATTTAATGACTTATCTATGAGTACATGGTAGTGAGATGGTTAAAGTTGCACATGATGAGAAGTCGTTGATACACTTTTTTTATGAGAGATCGAGGGGAACCGTTTTAAGCTAGTATATGCAACTAGATAATACAAAGATCAAAAGATGGAAGGATTAGGCAAATACCTTTTATAAAATAGTACAAGTTCAATATGGAGATTTCTTCAAAATAATATGGTTAGAAAAGTATGGAAAAAACCCTAAAAGAAATAGTCAAGGAATATGTCTAGAGGTGGCGAGAGGTGGCGAGTCAAGTTCATCTCGTTAATATATGAGCATGAGTTGATCAATTTTTCTTAAACACTTTCAAAAAATCATACTTTGAGAATTTAATTAGGAACTCTCTAATTTCATTAACATCATTATCATCTCCGGGAGGATAGAGCATGGAATCAAACTTAAGAAGTTTTTCAATGGTTTTGAGGAGAAAAATAGTGACAACACCAAAAGAGAGGGTGATGTATACCATGTTGGGATCAAATTCTCAACTCAAAAATCAATGGAGTAGTAAAAAAAGATATAGCAACCATGAAAATCTTAACAAACATCCAAAACCTACATCTACCCATTACACATCTAACCTAACAATCACAATAGGTAGCATTTTTCCAAACTTAAATACAATAATATCCAAAAAACAAAATACAACCATATCTAAAAACATAAATGCAATCACATTCAACAAATGAAGCTTACCAGATCATGTTTGTCAAGTTAGCCAAATTATGATAATTTGCCCAATCAAACTTACCAAGCAAGTTGATTCTCCTAAATTTTTAAGCACTATCAAAATGCTCCAACATCTAAGACCATGAACAATTACTACTCCCACCTTTCTTACCTGGTTGAAACATTTGAGCATCTAGAAAGCAATTGGTAGATCACCCCAATCCAACTTGACTCGATGAAACCCCTTTATCCTTCATGATACACACTAGATAAGAGATGTGAATGTCATTCATGTGATATTAGACATAACATTGATGATTGTCTTGCTTTTAAGAAAAAACTATTTGGATTTTATCAAGCAAGGTTGGATCAATTTTAATAGTGGTTTGAAGGCTTCCAATGTGAACATCAATATGCTCCCAAACCATATGGTTGTCCATATATGAGATGGAGATGTTGAGTGAGTTTAAAAAACAATTGATGCATGATTAAAATTTACAACTATAACCTTTTAATTTTGTTAGATTTTGATCACTATTTCTGGATAACAAAAACAAAAACAACACATTTGAGTTATACATGGATTGAGTCGTGTCTTTGAATAAAGAGGTAACTCCTATTCACTTTTCATAATTTCGTATTATCTTATCTAAAATCAAGATATGTTCATTCAAAAATATTATTTGGCATTCCATCTTCCTCCATCAAGAAGGTATAACAACAAATTAATTCAAAAATATTCAAAAGATTGATCAAATTTCAAAGCATGGTAGATAGATGATAAAGATAATTCTTCAATTCATTGAACCTAAAGATACATCCTCATTTCCTAATAATCTTTCCGAGCAAAAAGTAAAGGGTTAATCCCTCTTTTGTTAAAACCAAAAAGAAATCATTTTCTTTTCCTAATTAAACTCTCAAAGGAAATTTTTGCTAAGGAAATCTTCATGAAACTCAAAGTTGAAAGACTAAATGATTGGTGTCCAAAATAATGATGAATAGTATATCTTCAAGTTATGATCTCAATTTACATTCATCATTTCTTTTTTAGGTTAACCTAAGGGTTTTTTTTTAAATTAATCATTATTTTTCAAAAAGGATTAGCATTTATTAGCATAGGAAAATTAACCTTTAAGATGAAGAAAGACCATTTTGCATATATCTCACAAAAGTTTTATCTCTTGTCTTCCCACTTTAAACCTTGATGATTTCTTTCACGATAACCCAAATAAGGATTACCCCTCATACTAAAGGATAGAATGCAAAGACCATAAATGGTCGATTGAAACATTCAAAAAGTTTTATTAAAAAATGATTCTAAAAATAAAAGAGAAAATGAAAGAAAAAAAGAAGAAGAAAACATTCCTATTACAAAATTACAAGTCAAGATGAGAGTCAAAATCCCGACAAATAGAGTCGAGGCTAGGAAATATAGTCAACAAGAAAAACGACAAAGTCATTGAGGCAAGTCTAAAATGATTTTTTTTCATGACCATCAAGATGACACCGCAACCTAATTAATGGCTTAAGTGATAAAATCTAGATGACGTTGTTTAAAGAGACTTCTATGCACAACAAAATGATTCCATGTCATAAGACCCTTAAACACATTTTTAGCCTTTATGTATCCATTTTTTTTCATAAGCTTAAACTATAGCCTACATTACATGCTTCAATAAGCTCTTTTTGAATAGAAGTAGTTCACTTATGCTCGTTAAATTCTAATATCATGAAAAAAAGGAGAATGATTTAAAAAAAAAAAATAACTAGTTGGTATGTTGTTTATCATTCTTTATGCTACCAAATTATAAGTTTTCATCAACTAAACTTAAGGATAAGAAAAATAAACAGAATCAAGATATTCTCAAGCAAGATCATCCTTCATAATCATTTTTTTTTTTAAATACTTTTTTCTCAACCTTCTCTAGCCACTAAAATAGACTTATCATTTGACCAATCACTTTCAATAGCATCAAAAATCAATATTTATACAAATCTTTCATGATTTAAATACGTTTGCCAATTTAGCTCAACAACTTTATTAAGAAAATCGTATCATAGTATTTGAATGTCATGTTTACTTTTAAACAATAGATTTGAACATCTTCATGAATACAAGTACTTTCATCGGAACATGTCTATAATATTTTTTTAGAAATCTAAATTGTATTTAAGAGAATCATTCAACTTCATGTTTAATCCATGAAAACCAAATGTCCAAATTTTTTTTTCCAAAATATGAAAAAAATTTCAAGACCGAGTTTATAAATTATGATACAAGTATCAAAAGATGAAATTAAAGCACAAATAACGATTATGCTAAGAGAGTGAAAAATACATGATCTCAATCAGTACTTAAGGGCATCTTATGATCTAAATTTAATGATAATAAAAAAAATTGAGAAAACTTGGGGCAAGGCCAAGAATCTAACGACTTTAATCGAGTTCAATAACTAGGCAAACGAGTGACATCATCATTCTAGTTAGAGAATCAATAATCAAAGCGACCAAATACATCAAGCTAGTGGAAAAAAATCGATCTTAAAAGAGGATAATGACTTAATAAAAGTTGGACAAGCAATCAAAGTAGTTGCAAACAATCAAAACAGGGTAAATAATAAAAGATGGATGGTTGTCAACTTTAAAATATTAGAAAAATCTATTTATCTCGGTTGGTTGGGAAAAAGTGAAAAAACCTAAGTTTCTAAAGAATAATGATCAAGGCCTAAGGAGGTAAGGAAATTTTGGCGATACTATATAATATGGTTCAATACAAAAGTCCGGATAGCCAAGAATGAGGCACCAAAGGGAGAGTTGAGTGCCCATAAAATGAGACATCCTATGTTTCTTCCAAGTAAGATACTCGTCGACCTTATTGATATATTTTAGAAACTTAAACTCAACCGAAACTACAAAACTATCATTCAAGTGAAAAATTCTAAAGTCACAGGATTATAAAGGGCTCGCGTTGCCCAAATCATTATCC